ATGGCTTGAAATATTGTATACAGTGTAAGAAAAAAAACCCCAAATGCTTTTAAATATTCACTCTAATTCCCTAGGTTACAACTAATTAGTACTTCCTGTTTGCTCCCCATGTAATTTGCTTACTTCTTGACACTATCATGTGTTTATCTTCCTTCTAGAGGCCTGTCTTCCAGAAATAGGATGAAAACAGTTGAAGATAGAACTTTGTCTTTTATCTTTTTATTTCTAGTACCTAGTCCAGTCCCTCGAAGACAGAAGCCTCTTGATGCTTACTGAGTGGAATTGACTTCTATCTACTGCTTAAGTTAGGAAAGAAAAAACTACTCATCAAGGGCTTTGGGGGGAAAGTCTTTGTTCTCTAGGAGGAAGGGTTTCCCCTAAGCCACTCTTGGGCTTTGTACTTCTTCACTGCTTTTTAGGGAAAGTGGAATGGCTTATCTAACTGGTGAGTCTGAGATAAGGAAGAACTTCTCACATTCAGATATTGTCCTCCACCAGACATAGAGGGACAGGATAGGGACAGTGCCTAACCCAGTTTTGGGGAAGCTCACTGTTGCTATGCACCCATGCCTTCTCTCATTTTCTCTCTCTCTCTCACTCTCTCTGTGTGTGTGTGTGTGTGTGTGTGTATGTGTGTGTGTGTGTCTGTTTCTAATGAAGAGTTTAGCTTTGGAGTTAATGAGCAAAAGATTTCCTTACCATAAAGTGAAGCCCATCAAATGAAAGCAAGTAGAAAGGCACAGAAAGGTTTATCCTTGTCACCATGTGGAAAGACACTTAGGGGAGCAGATCATTAGGTAACTGCTGGTACTTGCGGTTTCTACATCTTGTAAATTCACACATATCCATGGTTGACCTAATTATATTTGTAGAACTTTTTGAAATTTTCAGTTTGAGGTAAATAGCAATGAGTATCCAGGTTTTCTGTTTTTGTTGTCCGCTGCATATTGGCCCCAAATCCACTCAGGCAACAAATCCTGGAGAGTTACCTGCTCCTTATCTTTAAAGTATATGTAGCCCTTGGTCTCCATTTCTGTTGCCTTTTTATTTACTTATTTTTTAATTTTAAATTGACAAATATACTTGTATGTATTTATGGGCATAATGTAATGTTATAATTGAATACAATGTAGAATAATTAAATCAAACTAATGAAGATATCCATCACCTCAAACACATACTAGTTTTGTGGTAGGCACATTTGAAATGTACTCTCGGCCGGGTGAGGTGGCTCAAGCCTGTAATCCCAGCACTTTGGGAGGCCGAGGCGGATGGATCATGAGGTCAAGAGATCGAGACCATCCTGGTCAACATGGTGAAACCCCGTCTCTACTAAAAATACAAAAAAATTTAGCTGGGCACGGTGGTGCGTGCCTGTAATCCCAGCTACTCAGGAGGCTGAGGCAGGAGAATTGCCTGAACCCAGGAGGCGGAGGTTGTGTTGAGCCGAGATCGCGCGCCATTGCACTCCAGCCTGGGTAATGAGCGAAACTCTGTCTCAAAAAAAAAAAGAAATGTACTCTCTTAGCAATTTTGAAATGCACAGTACATAATTATTCACTATACTCACCACATGATATATCTCAAAGAAAAAAAACCAACTTTCATCCTCTTGAAGCTTTATACTCTTTGGCCATCATCTCCTCTTTTGTTTTTTGAGACAGAGTCTCACTCTGTCACCAGACACCAGGCTGGAGTGCAGTGGTGCGATCTCGGCTTACTGCAACCTTTGCCTCCTGGGTTCAAGCAGTTCTCCTGCCTCAGCCTCCCGAGTAGCTGGGACTACAGGTGTGTGCCACCATGCCCAGCTAATTTTTGTATTTTTTAGTAGAGATGGGGTTTCACCATGTTGGCCAGGATGGTCTCGATCTCTTGACCTCGTGATTCGCCTACCTCGGCCTCCCAAAGTGCTGGAATTACAGGCGTGAGCCACTGCACCTGTCCATCATCTCCTCTTTCTTCCTACTCTCCAGCTTCTCGTAACCACCATTCTATTCTCTGCTTCTTTGAGATCAATTGTTTTATAGAATTCTACATTTAAATGAGAATATGCTCTACTTGTCTCACTGTACCTGACTTATTTTACTTAGCATAATGTTCTCCAATTCCATCCATGTTGTTGAAAATGGCAAAATTTCTTTTTTCAGGGCTGTATAGTATTACATTGTGTGTATACACCACATTTTTAAAATCCATTCATTTGTTGATGGACACTTAGACTGATTCTATAACAGTGCTACTATGAATATTGCTACAATGAGCCTGGGAGTACAGACATCTCAACATACTGATTTTACATCTCTTGGGTAAATACCCAGAAATGAGATTGCTGGATCATATGGTAATTTTATTTTTAGTTTTTTGAGGAAACTCCATGCAGTTTTCCATAATGCCTGTACTAATTTATATTTCCACTGCCAATGTGTGGGTTTTCTCTTCCCCACATTCATTGCCAACCCTTTTCTTTCATCTTTTTATAAATAGCCATTCTAACAGGTGTTAGGTGATATCTCATTGTGGTTTTAATTTGTACTTCCCTAATGATTAGTGATATTGAGCATTTTTTCATATATCTTTCATATAAGAAGAACCATTTGTGTATCTTTTTTTGAGAAATGTCTGTTCAGGTCGCATTTTTTAATCAGATTACATATTACCTTTCTATAGAGTTGTTTGAGCTCCTTACAAATTTTAGATATTAAACCTTAATTGCACATATGGCTTGAAAATATTTTCTCCCTATCCAAAAGTTGTCGCTTTATGCTGCTGTTGTTTTCCTTGTGGTACAGGGGCTTTTTATTTTGATATAATCCCATTTTTCGATTTTTGCTTTAGTTATGTGAACTTTTAGGGTCAGGTCTAAAATATAATTGCCCAGAATAATGTTACGTAATTTCCCCCTATCTCTTTTGACAGCCTACAATCAGGTATAGGAGCCAAGAAATGATTTAAAATTGGAACTTACATTTAAAAGGGAAGCAGAGTGTAAAAGTTTGGAAAATTTGCATCCTGGCCATGTGGTGGAGAAAGAAAAAAAAAGCATTTTTAGGAAAGGAATACAAGCAGGTTGTGGAACAACAACTTACTAGAGAGATTAGCATAACTAAGAGGGAGCCAAGTTCTCATTTCCAAGACAGTGGGGAAAAGGCCTCGGAAGCATACCAGAGATCTTGGAGACAGACTCTGCTATCACAGACCCAGAGCCCCATAAGGAAAGAATGGTTTCAGGGACCAGGCCTGGGCCATTGCCCTGCTCAGACTTGAGACGCTGCTCCAGCTGCAGCTCAAAGGGCCCCAGGGACAGTTTGGGCTGCTGCTCTGAAGGGTACAAGCTGTAAGCTTTAGTGGCTTCCGTGGGATACTACGCCTGCAGATGCACAGAGTGCAAAAGTGAAGGAAACTTTGCAGTTACCCTCTAGATTTCAGAAGATGTATTGGAAATCCTGGGTGCTCAGGCAATAGCCTGCTGCAGAGGTGGAGCCCTTACAGAGAACCTCTACTAGAGCAGCATGGAGACGAAATGTGGAGTTAGAGCCTCCACATAGAGTCCTTACCAGGGCACTGCCTGTGGAGTTGTGGGAAGGCAGCTGCCTCCCCCCACATCCCAGAATGGTAGAGCCATGGGCAACTTGTATCCTGAGCTTGGAAAAGCTGCAGACACTCAACTCCAACCCATGAGAGCAGTCATGGGGCTGCATCCTGCAAAGCCACAGGGCTGCCCATGCACCAGTGTGCTCTGGATGAGGGATATGAAGTCAGAGACGATTATTTTGGAGCTTCAAGATTTAATAACTGCCCTGCTGGGTTTCAGACCTGCATGGGACCTATAGCCCCTTTCTTTTTGCCAGCTTTCACTTTGAAATGGGAATGTTTACCCAATGCCCATATTACCATTGTATCTCATAAGTAGATAACTTGTTTTTGATCTCACAGGCTGATAGGTGGAAGGAACTCATCTCCAGATGGAACTTTGGACTTTAGACCTGGGACTTGGGACTTTGGGTTGAATTGGTATTGAAACAAATTAAGACTTTGGAGAACTATTAAGAAAGGATGATTGTATTTTGCAATGTGAGAGGGACCTGAGATTTGGGGATCTAGAGCAATAATGATATAGTTTAGATGTTTGTTCCCTCCACATCTCATGTTAAAATTCCCAATGTTGGAGGTGGGGCCTGGTGAGAGGTGTGCTGATTATGGGGGTAGATCCCTCATGAATGGCTTAGTGCCATCCCATTGGTGTTGAGTGAGTTCTTGCTCTGATAGCTCACATGAAATGTAGTTATTTAAAGAGTGTGGCACTTCCCCTTCCTCTTGTTCCCACACTCAACTTGTGACATGCTAGCTTCCCTTTGCCTCCCATTGTGACTAGAAGCTTCCTGAGGCCTTACCAGTAGCTGAGCAGATACCAGCACCATGCTTTCTCTAGACTCTGCAGAAGTGTGAGCCAATTAAACCTCTTTTCCTTATAAATTTCTCAGCCTCAGGTATTTCTTTTCTTTTCTTTTGGAGACACAGTATTGCTCTGTTACCTAGGCTGGAATGCAATGGCATAATCTCGGCTCACTGCAATTTCCACCTGCCGGGTTCAAGTGATTTTCATGTTTCAGCCACCCGAGTACCTGGGATTACAGGCATGTGTCACCACATCAAGCTAATTTTTGTATTTTAGTGGAGATGGGGTTTCACCATGTTGGCCAGGCTGGTCTCAAACTCCTGACCTCAAGTGATCCACCCACCTTGGCCTCCCAAGGTGCATGAGGTGTGAGCCACTGCATCTGGGCAGTTATTTCTTTACAGAAAGGCAAGAACAGACTAACACAAATGGGTTCAGAATTCAGTTGTGGAAAAGGTATATAATTTAGTCCCCTCAAATCTCACAGAAGAATTTCAGAAAGATCCTATATTTGTCTTTGGATACATGCAGAGAATAGATTAAAATATAAATATCTTGATGTTTTCTATATTACATATTTATATCCCTTCTTTTTCCAAAACAGATTTAAAGCGGCTTCATCTTTGACGTGGTACTCTAACCCATGACATTCAAAAGCCACAAGGACAGAAAAAGAATTTTCTGAGACTGCTTGAAGCACAACCTCATTTGATATGATTTCCTAGCCTAGAATATAATCAGGAAGGCCCTAATTTCTTTCTGTTACTGTTGTTTTTAAGCAAAAAAGATGCTATTCCTCCTCTTCTATTTCTTTGCACATAGTGAATACTAGTCACCCCGCCACCAAACAACAACCTGGAAATCAACTTTCCCTCTGTTCCATTGTCCCTCCAAACAACCACTCAATCATCAAGATTTCTTCCTTAATAACTTTCATATCCACCCCTGCATCTGGGATCTCAGTTCACACCTTGGATTGCTGCTGCCTGGACTAGCCCAGCAGTCCCCACTCTGTAGTCCTTTCGTCCCTCTTCTATACCATGTCCAAAGTGTTCTTTCTAGCAGAACAATGTGATTGTGTTACTCTTGTACTTGAAATCCCTCCGTGTCTTTTTCACTGTCTCTGGGATTTATTCCAGACTCCTTAGCATACACACAGGGACCTCAAGGGTCTGGCAGCTGCTCAGTTCTCCAGCCGTATCTCTCTGAATGGTTTCTCTCTTGGCCTCATTTCTCCATCACCCCTCCTCCCCCAAAACACATACACTAGAACCATTGTTTGTTACTCAGAGTACTTCTTATGCTCTAGGATAGTTCATATTTTTTGGTCCCTTTTGCTGCTCCTCTGCCTGTAACTTATCCTTTCCCCACTTGCTTTCCCTCTACCCCCCAAAGCTGGCCCAGCTTTTAAGACTCAATCAAAGTACCACCTCTCTGAAGTCTTTTTCACAGTTCACCCTTAGGAAGAATGAAACATTCTCTTCCTTGTCTTCCCTTCCATGTCTGTAATCCTCAACACATTTTTTTTTGAGATGGAGTTTCGCTGTTGTTACCCAGACTGGAGTGCAATGGCACCATCTCGGCTCACCGGAACCTCCGCCTCCTGGGTTCAAGCAATTCTCCAGCCTCAGCCTCCCGAGTAGCTGGGCTACAGGCGCGCACCACCATGCCCAGCTAATTTTTGTATTTTTAGTAGAAACAGGGTTTCACCCCATTGACCAGGATGGTCTCGATCTCTTGACCTCGTGATCCACCCGCCTTGGCCTCCCAAAGTGCTGGGATTATAGGTGTGAGCCACCGCGCCCGGCCACTTTTTTTTAATGAATTGTTTGCTACACTGTTTGCCTTCACTAGACTGAAAAATTGTAGGGACGAAGTCCAAGTCATGTTCCTTCTGTTGTCTCTAATATCTATTATCGTTGCTGACACTTTAGCAGTATTTCATAAATGTTTATTGACTAAATGCATATTTATCTGTGCATAAAAGAGTAACAGTTTCAGAGTTTTTGTTAGCTGCATTCCTTTACTTCCTATCAGCTTGGGAAAATAGATTTAGCACCCACAAAATGATTGGGGTCCCCTGTACTGCAAAGATTTGACTTTAAGAAGTAGGTGTCTGGGGCCGGGCGCGGTGGCTCACGCCTATAATCCCAGCACTTTGGGAGGCCGAGACAGGTGGATCACGAGGTCAAGAGATCAAGACCATCCTGGTCAACAAGGTGAAACCCCGTCTCTACTATAAATACAAAAATTAGCTGGCCATGGTGGTGAGTGCCTGTAGTCCCAGCTACTCGGGAGGCTGAGGCAGGAGGAATTGCTTGAACCCAGAAGGCGGAGGTTGCGGTGAGCCGAGATTGTGCCATTGCACTCCGGTCTGGGTAACAACAGCGAAACTCTGTCTCAAAAAAAAAAAGAAATTAAATTAAAAGAAGAGGCGGCTAGGTACAATAGTTCATGTCTATAATCCCAACATATTGGGAGGCGAAGGCAGAAGGATCACTTAAGCCCAGGAATTTGAGACCAGCCTGAGCGATGTGGTAGGACCCAGTGTCTATGAAAAACCATATTTATTAGCTAGATATGGTGGCATGTGCCTCCTGAGTTGGATGAGGCAGGAGGATTGCTTGAGCCTGGGAGGTCAAGGCTGTAGTGAGCCATGATTGTGCCACTGCACTCCAGCCTGGATGACAGAGTGAGACCCTGTTTCAAAAAATAAACAAACAAATATATAACAATAAATAACGAAGCAGGCTCATGAACAGCATCAGCAGTTTCAGCTACTAATACTAGCCATCTTTGTTCCTCGTAGAGTGCAGAGGGCTGCTGGTCACTTTTGATCTTTATTAAAACACCCACACACAGTAAGATTGCTTGGGAATCCAAGGCAGAAGATATCTGTGTGGTTTGAGAGGACTTTAAAATGATAGAGAAGGCTGGGCGCAGTGGCTCCTGTCGGTAATCCCAGCACTTTGGGAGGCTGAGGCAGGCAGATCTCAAGACCAGCCTGACCAACATGGAGAAACCCCGTCTCTACTAAAAATACAAAAAATTAGCCGGACGTAGTGGCACATGCCTGTAGTCTCAGCTACTTGGGAGGCTGAGATAGGAGAATTGCTTGAACCTGGGAGGCAGAGGTTGCGATAGCCGAGATCATGCCACTGCACTCCAGTCTGGGCAACAAGAGCGAAACTCCATCTCTAAATAAATAAATAGATAAATAGTGATAGTCTCATCCTTTTAAAGTAGTTTAAACATACACTACCCCAGGGCAGGGATGGAATAATGAATTTGCTGAATATTCTTTGTGGGCTCTGAACATCAACAGGGCAATAGAGAAGTCAAGAAATGAAAGATGCTGGTAAGGTCAGCACATACCTATCTTGGTACCAGTGCTACCAAGTGACCATTGCATGGACCATGCTCTGGGAGGGCATGAGAAATATTAAATGCCAAGGACATTCCCTCAATGAGTTTACAGTTCAAAGCTTTAACGTCACTGAAAGTAATACTTCTGTGACAAGCTTTGATGATAAATGTAGACTAATTTTTTTTTTTTTTTTTTTTTTTGAGACAGAGTTTTGCTCTTGTTACTCAGGCTGGAGTGCAATGGCGCGATCTTGGCTCACCATAAACTCTGCCTCCCGGGTTCAATCAATTTTCCTGCCTCAGCCTCCTGAGTAGCTGGGATTACAGGCACGCGCCACCATGCCCAGCTAACTTTTTTTTATATTTTTAGTAGAGACAGGGTTTCACCATGTTGACCAGGGTTGTCTCGATCTCTTGACCTCGTGATCCACCCGCCTTGGCCTCCAAAGTGCTGGGATTACAGGCGTGAGCCACCGCACCCGGCTGTAGACTAATTTTTTAAAAATTATATAAACATTTTAAATACTTTGCAAAGCACCAACAAATTCCTTAGGTGTGCTGTGGTAGCAAGAACAGTTTGTAATGACTGAAAAGTGAAGAATCTATGGTATATTCATGGTCTAAATTACATATTGTAAGCTGGTGTGCCCTCTGGGGTGAAGTCATACAATATTTTCAAATTCAGAAAATTTTAAATAAAAAATTAAGATTTCTTATTTGTGCTTTCCTTGTGCTCTCGGGTCAAAATGATTCATGCAAGACTTGATGGTTTGAAAGAAAACTGTACAAAGGCATTCAACTTTGGCTAAATGGGTTCTGGTATAAATGCAAAGGATATTTAACTCACTTGGGAGCTCATAGGCATAATGCATATGTTTGTTTAAACACAAAAAAACCAATTGAAGATTAACATTGACTTTGTCTCATAGTTTAGATCTGGGATAAACAAACCTTTTCTGTAAAGAGCCAGAATATTTTAGGCCTTTATTTATTTTAGGTTTTGCAGGTTATGTGATCTGTGTTGCAGCTAAACAGCTCTGCCACTCTAGTGCATCAGTAGCCATAGGCAACACATGGGCAAATGAGCATGGCTGTGTTCTAATAAAACTTTGTTTATGAACACTGAAACTTGAAATTTATATAATTTCTACATGTCACAAAATATTATTTTTCAACTATTTAAAACCGTAAAATCTATTCTGAATTCATGGGCCATATAAAAATAAGAGACAGACCTCATTTGACATATAGGTCAAATGGACATTGGCTGATTGTCATTGTAAAATCTTGGTCTTAGGCCTTTTAGACTTGATTCGCCTAAAAGGAATAAACGAGGATATTCTGTTCTCTTTATAGGGCAAAGGAATTCTCCTTTCCCTACTTTTTTATTTTTATGTATTTATTATTTTTTTGATGGAGTCTCACTCTGTTACCCAGGCTGGAGTGCAGTGGCACCATCTCGGCTCACCTCTGCCTCCCGAGTTCAAGCAATTCTCCTGCCTCAGCTTCCCTAGAAGCTGGGATTACAGGCGTGTGCCCCATGCCCGGCTAATTTCTGTATTTTTAGTAGAGATGGGGTTTCACCATGTTGGCCAGCCTGGTCTTGAACTGTAGACAACAGGTGATCCACCCACCTCAGCCCCCCAAAGTTCTGGTATTACAGGTGTCAGCCACTGTGCCTGGCTTCCCTACTTTTTATATTCATGGGGAGCTTGGTTGATATCCTGCTTGAACATGGAAGAGCCAAGCTGCTCACCCTGTGTTTTGCAAAACCTTAAAGGCTAGTCTGTTTTTCAGACAGCCCAGGTGATGAGGGAGCCTTGTGTTTTCTATGAGGAACCTTATGCCTTAAGCATCTGTATCCCAGTCATACTTATGTATGCAAAGGCTAAGTAAAATCTATTAATATCCTGGCTAGAAAGAAAACTGTAAAATTACACATAGATGCAAGCTTGTGTGTATTCTGCAGTTCAAAGTGTAGTCAGCAAAAAAAGCATACATGCTATCGTACTGGGAGGAAATCAGTGTCTTTGAAATCAAATACCCTGCCATTGGCATATCCAGGCTTGAAACTCGGCTGCAGCTTTTAGCTTCCACCACATGTTTACATTGGAAATCTCTCTGTGCGCATATAGAGTTTGTTCTCTTATGAAATCATGTCTCTAGGGGAGGATAATTTAAAGCCATTTCCGTTTGTTATGTCTGAGCTGAACTAGACTATTAGGGCTTGTTAACGCTGGATAAACTTGAGCCCTATAACTGCCTTCATCTGCAGATTATAGAATCTGTCCAACAAATTGCATTCTGATGTTTTCAGAATGATGGCTGAGCAAGCAAGGGCCTTTTAATTTATATTCTATCACCATGGTTGTCAGGAATCACAGTTTTGACTTTCACGCTTCCTTGGTATAGCAGAGATGATATGACTCTGGAATGGACCAAATCCAGAAGTAATTGAGACACTAAACTGCATCTGCATGTTACTATAGCAGAGCAAGCAAAGGCTGACAGTCAGAAAATTGCTGTTGAAGCATCTTTCTTCAGAGTGCCTCCCTTCCCCGAGTCTTAGCATAAATCAGTGTTAGGTCCACTGAAAGAAATATCGTGTGTGGTCTGCATTTAGAGATTTCATTTGAAAAATGAGACAGATGGATACATGAAAACAAGTTTTCTTTAGGGTAGTGTTAAGTAAATAGAATTAAGTGAAGATAGACAGTTTCCCTGATTTAGTGAAGGGGAGATGGTGGTCGCTCCAGGATATCTAACTCCCTCTACTTCTATTCATCAAACCCGCTGAACACATTTGCCTTCACTTTGCCTTAATATCATTCTTCATTTTAGATAGTAGGATACTGGAAGGTAGAAATTGCATCTGTTTGACTTCTTCTGTGAACCAGTCTAGCAGAACTACCAGTACAACTCCAGTAAAGTCAACAATAGGATGGTACCAGGCAATAGTGTGACTATTCAACATGGTATCACCTAACTGGGAAAGGAATCCTTCCCTCATGGCTTTAGCCTTATTGTCAGTAGCTCCACTGAATTCACTTCCTTTCAATAAACTTGTAAAAGGTACTGCCCTAAGCCCTGAGGTTGGGGACAGTGGTGGTGGTGGTGGTAGGATACAGAGGCAAATAAGACATGGACCCTGCCCAAAAGGTGACTGTGTACATAAAGCACCCTAATCCAGACCAGACCCAAAGAATGCCAGAAATGAAGGGCAGACATAGGACAGTGGCATTTTGATTAAGAAATAGGGTTTTAACTGGTGGGAGAGAGAAGTCTCATGCTAGACTAAGGGAACAGCATGGACTAAAGACCAGAAGTAGAAAAGTACTGCTTTTTCTACTAAAAGCAGGAAAGACCAAAAGTGTTGAGAGAACAGGAATCATTCCTCTCTCTCCTTCCTTTTTTCCCTTTATTCTTTATTCAATAATTATTTGATGAATGCTTATGGTAAACCAAACAGACACAGCTCCTGCCCACGCAAAGCCTGCAGTCTAGAGGAGGAACAGCCATGAATCAAAGAAGCCCAAAGTAAATAACAAGTTGCAGGCCTGATCTTTACCTCAAAGGAGAGGGGTCCATTGACTAAGAGAGTACATTACTGTAGAGTGGAACATACTTCACAAGCCTTTACTGAAGAGATGTCCTGCAACCTGAAGAGGGAGGAGGCATTGATTAGAGGAGAGCGCTCCATTGAGAGGAATCAGCAAGGACATAGCACATGCAAGAGGCTGCAAGAGTGAGGGAATGTGCAGGATTAGACCATTGCCAGGGAGCAGAACACAGTGGGGTTTTTGGTCTTTAAGAGCAAAGAAAAGCCATTGACCTGTTTCTAGCAAAGGACGGGGTAAGGTAATGAGGTTTGCTAGTTGGAAACATCCCACTGGCTGCTGTGTAGAGAATGAATTAGATGGGTGAAGAGGGACCCCTGCCAGAATGTGGACGCAATTGACCAGGGGAAATATTTTGGTTTCTTTGCACTGGAGTAATGAGGATGGAGATGAAAAGAAGGGAATATGTTTAAGAGCTGATAATGAGCTTGGCCTTGGAGACACTGAGTTTGACAAACTAAGAAGATATACCAGGAAGATATAGGTGTCCTGGAGCTCAGTGAAGAGGTCTGGGCTGGAGGTACACAATTAAGTCATCTCCTTATAGGTGATAATTGAATCATAAATGTGGATAAATAAATATTAGTTGAATGAATGATAGAATTAATGAATGGATGATATTGGGTGAGGAAAGAGCAGACAGTAACAAGAGGGCTTAAACAACTTCGTGGTACTGTGTTTCTGTAACTGTTACTTATCAGTTGTGAGAATGGACAAATTGATTTTCCTCTGGCCAGCTCTGATGCCTCCTATGGACACGTTCAGAAAGCCAGCAGGAACCTAGGAAGTGACCAGGCCACCCCCTTGCCCACATAGAAACATGTCTCCTGACTCTTCCACCTTACCAGTGGGTGGGCTCTAAGAGTTCACATAGAAGGTGGTTGTTTGCATTGTAGAACTCTTCCCAAAAGAAGCTCCTACTTTTCCTAGGGAGATGCCACCATAGACCCAAATAGGTCCTTTCTGTGAGCCATTATGTTCAATGTGACCTTGAGATGTTAGAACCTATTTGCCCACTGATGCCTAGGACATAGGCCTGGACTCTTCCCTAGACTCCTCCCATCGCACTTGCCAGGCATTGGAAGGCAGGAATTTTCACTTTGTTATCATTGGTAAGGGCTTCGTGATTTCAGAGAGGGAGTCCAGGGGTTTCTGGGACATTTACCAGTATAAATTCTCTGAGCTTCTTCTAGGTCTGTGTTTGAATTCATTCATTCCCTTCTTATCTTTTCTGAGAACCCCAAGAATTGGCCTGCCTGTGTCCCTTGCTTTTACTTTCAGCAGGTAGGGGTCTGGCATGGTGGTGGGGGTAGTTTGATGGGGAAAGTGATGCTGGTACTATTTTTCCTCCCATATTTAGCCTACAGAGTGTAGTCATAAAATGTTTCCTCTGTGTTCTGAGTCCTGAACCAAGCACACAGCCCATTGTAGTTTCTAAGGATTTTTATTAACAGCAATGCCAAAAAGCAAGTTAAAAGCAAAACAGCCCCCTCTGGGCCTGTTCCCTAGCCTTTTGTTATTTTGTGTTGTTTTCCTCACACCCAGGATGAGCACATATCCCAATTTCTGAGGATAGTCCTGGTTTGCAACTGTCATCTTGTCACAACTGCCAATAGTACCACCTTTAAAAAGTGTAGACATTGAGTTCTGCTCATGCTACTTAACCCCATAAAGAAAAACAAAGTAATACACTGGTGGTAATAGTGGATTTACAAAAGACTGCAATAATCTCAATCTGCATTTTAACAAGAAGATATGAGCCAGCAAGGGACTTCTTTGGTGTTTTGTCCCAACAGCTGGATTGGGCCTCTATGTGTGTAGGTGTTAGGGATGGGGTAGCAGAGGGGAGGACTTATGAGAAGTGCTGGAATATTGGGGCTAGAATATTGCCACAGAGCTGTGTCTATCTTTCTTTCTCAGTAACCAGATCTACCATGGAACACTCAGACTGGCATTTTGGCAAGACGAGATGAAGGATTAGGGCTAAGGAAGGTGCAATTGCAGGCACTGTGGGGTCCACAGCAGAGTATAAAAACGTGGAGGCGGAGGTGCATTCGAGTCATATCAGCACAGAGCAGGGTGTTGGGGTTGGGGCCTGAGCCGTTGTTGTCTGGCTGTCACAGTTGGGGGAAGGGGGCACAGAAGTATCAACATTTCATTTAGAATTTTTCTAAAAAGTTGCCACTTTGGGCAAAGGGCTCAGTAAGACCTTCCCCTCTCTGTAACTCTGCTTCTATTAGAGGTTTCTGAGCAGTTCAGGCTAACCAAGTGGTGGAACCATGTGGGGTACCCTCAAGCCCGTGGGTCTCTAAGGGTTGTGCCTAAATCACATGTACATGTTCCACCTGTGATGTTAGGCAAACAAACATGATCCTTTCTCATCACCACTTCCATGAAACAAAGACATTTTAGAACTGTTGATGATAGCAGCATTGTTTTCTTGACAAAGAGATTACTCATAAAGTAGTAAAGAACATTAGAAAAAGGAGCTGTAGTCACTGCTCTTTGTGGTGCTACATAGGTAGTGTGCCTATTATAAGAACTTTTGTGTCTTCCAATAAGGTTTTAGACTAGTAAAATGAAG